TGAGTTTACCGGAAAAGAGAAGGTACCCCGGTGAGCCCTGGGAATGAAGAAAAGTGAAAGAGGGACACTGGTACCTTGTTGCGACACCCCCCTTCCTCCAAAAACGCTCTGGAGAAAAAAATTCCACAGCGAAACTGGGATCCTGCTTCGGCCAGATGAGGAGAAGTTGTTTTTTTTTTACGTGGAATAAAAATCTGTAAAGCCTTGTGTAGGAAGCACCTCATCGCCTGGGTGAGGTGCTTTGTCCTGCGACATTTCCATTTAGCTCTCCCGTCAGTCTTATGAGGTAGATATGATTATTATTCCTATTTCCAAATGGCGAAACAAAGCACAGAGAGGTTAGCTAGCCTGCCTAAGGTCACACGGCTGGTAATTAAAACAAAATAAATATACATATGGAGGGAATCTCTGGGTGATAGTTGTTGGTTGCTTTTTCTTTATTAAGAAATCTCTAAAATGGGTATTATTATTTTTATAATTGTAAGGCTGGGGCTGTGTCCAGAGAAGAGTATGTGGGGAGGGGTGGCAGAAGCTTCTAAATCCCTGGCCTCCAGGGAGGGCGGGCGGGGCTGGGCCACACGCAGAGCAGTCTGCTGGGTGTCCAGGGCTGTTCTGGCCACGGGGTGCCTTCCAAATGTGCAACAGCCTCTGAGGGGAGGGAGGTGAGCCCACCCATGGACAGTGGCAGCAGAAGCTGCTGGTGGTACTGACCCAGGGGTGGCGGCTTCCCCACCCGGATCAGGTTGCCTCAGCACAGTGACAGGGTGGGGGTGGACACCGGTTGTTGGTGACAATATCTGGACTCCTTCACAGGTCCATTCTACTTGAGCCAAAAGTGGAGGAGTCTCAGTTCAAACTGCGAGGCCCAGTTCCCTCCAGCCTTCCCTCCCCCACCTCCAAGAAGTCAACTTCTGATAGCACTATGACCATGTCATTCTGTTCCACTGTCTGCCCAGGGTTCTGTGGGCCCCCCCGGAAGGAAGCCAGAGCCTGAGCCAGGTGCCCCCAGCCCACCAAGCCGGCGCTCGCCCCTGCTACCCCACCCAGCAGCAAGCCTTTCTCTGCCCTAGGCGTGTGCCATGCTGCTCCCCAACTTGGAGGGCTCCTCCTTCGCCCTCTTCTCTACTTACAAATGCCTGCACACCCCTCAAGGCCCAGCTCGCGTGCGCCTCCTATCTGCTGCCTTGCCCAGGAAGTTGCGCTTTCCTTCTCTTACGCCTCATCCTGTTGTGTGGAAGGAGGCGGTGTGTTCCTGTCCTGCCTCCTTAGCAGACACTCAGCCCCAACAGCTTCGAGAATGTCAGGTCAGAGCGTGAGCTGGATGCAGTCAGAACTTCAGGGCTCAGCTTTGCCATCTCAGGGCTGTGCAACCTTGGGAGGGTCACTTCCTCTCTGTGCACCATTCATTTAGAAGGTGCAGTGACAATAGTGCCCACCCTAACGGTGGCTTTTGGGAGGAATTAGGGGGACTAGGTGCCAAGTGCACCTGTCCTGGGACGGACACGCGGTGGCACTGGGCAGGTGCTTGCTGAGGAAAATGGCTTTTGGGAGGAATTAGGGGGACTAGGTGCCAAGTGCACCTGTCCTGGGACGGACACGCAGTGGCACTGGGCAGGTGCTTGCTGAGGAAAACAAGACGAGGGGAGCTGCGCCCTGGGGCCCGGGACCTCCATGGCAGCCAGGTGGAGGGTGCTGAGCTGTGTGCAGGGGGTCCCTGAGAGCAGGGGAGCTGGGGAGGGTGATGGAGACTCAGGAAGGGACTTCTGCCCCAGCCAGCCACAGTGAGCCTTCTCTGAAGTCTTCCCTGGCCCAGCGAGACCCAGGGGCCCAGCCAGGGCTGGCCAGGGAGGACACATCTCTGAAATGGCGCCCCCTCAGTGAGATAAGGGGGTTGGTGTGTTAGCCTCTCTGGCGACCAGGAGAGTTAAGTGCCATGATTCCTGGGGTGTGAGGGCTGTGTGGGGGGCCTTGGGCGTTGTGATTGCCAGGGCCCGAGTGGCCTGAGGTGGAGGACCTGGTGGGGGGAGGCTCCTATGGCCTTTCAGGCTCTGGGTTTCATTCCAGGCTGTCACTTGCTCAGCAGCCACCCCTCCCGGCGCCAGAGCTTGGGAACCGTTAACTCAGACACATTTATCGACAAAAGAAAACAGTCCCATTGTTCAGGGGGATAAGGGGGCGTCAGGGCCTCTGGACAAGCTCCCAAGAGTGACCCCGGCCTCTCCTCGGACATCTCTGACAGAGCCCCTCCTGATCAAGCCTTGCTTGTGCCCCCCCAGGGGCATTGGCTGCTCCCAGGAATGGCCCCCCAGGCAGAATCCCCCTCCCAGAAATGGCTGCAGGCAGGCTGCCCGCCATGCACGCACTGATAGAAGTAGCAGACACTCCTTACTTGGTAGTCACTGGTGACACTGACTGTGGCCCACTCAGGGCTTTGAGTTCAGGCTGGGGTAGCCCTCTGGCCAGTCTAGGAGGGGTGCTGTGTCCAAGAAGTAGCCCCTGAGGATGGGGCCGTCTCGGTTACCTGCAGGAAGGAGGCTGGGCTGACCGTCCCCCCCAACCCCAGGGAGGGCCCCTCCCTGCAAGTGGGAGGGCCCAGGGAGCTGTTGGGAGAAGGCACCAAGGTTCCCCTGCAGGGAGGGAGGTCTGGAGGGAGGGTCTTGTGCTGCTGCCTGGGGGGTTGCTGGGGGCTTCCGTGAGGGGGGAGAACCTGCTCCCAGCAAGGCCATGATAGCTAGTGTGGGGGTCTGTCTTCAGTCCTTATTTCAGGTAAGCCCCATGTCCCTGGCCCCCCAGGGTGGGGAAAAGCCAACTGATAGACCCTTCCCCTGCCTATTGCCCAATGCCCCCTCCCCCCAGGCTCCACCCTTGCAGGGCTGTGTGACATGGTATGTCTGCTGACCCCGCTGGGACTCAGAGTGTCCTCAGGGCCTTGCTGACCCTCAGGATCCACAGCCAGGATTCCAGAGCTTCTCCAACACATGTGACTCCATTTACCTGACTGACGTCTAAGCATTGCAGACTCATCAGTGGTGAGGGAGGTCAGGGAAATGTACCCTTGGGGGGTGGTCCTAACTATGAGTGGCGGGGGAACCTGGGGGACTGGATCTGGGGGTGCCCTTTCTGCAGGTGCATTGGAGCTTAGCAGCCCAAGGCTTACCCCTGGCTGGTGCCATCTGATTATGCCCAGAGCTGGAGTGAGGGTGTCAGCCTCCAAGGCAGTGACTGGTTCCTTATACCCCTTCTCTGCCTGGGTCCCTCCCAGCCTGTGGCTGATCTTGTCATGGTCAGCATCACAAACCCCACCAGGCATTTCTGGGTGTCCCCACATGCCTGGTTCGTCTTGGGAACTTGACCTGTTTTAACTCCTTGAAAGCTCACAGCCATCTCATGGGGTGGGCTGATTCTCGCGCCCACTTCATAGGAGAAAACGGAGGCCAGGACAGAAGTGACTTGTCCAGGGGCCACGGCTGGGCAGAGGCTGAGGTGGCATTTGAACCCAGCTGGAGCCAGCAGCCCTCAGGGGATGTGTGGGATTGGCTGGCGGCGCCCCAGTGCGGGGCCCTCCCCCAGCACCATCGCTGGCTTTGCAGCAGAGGCGACAGCCAATTCCTGCACACAGGGAAACAGCCTGCACTGTGAATGACCTGGCCGGGGCTGCAAATTCGCTGCTCAGAAAAGGGGAGCGGGAAATGAAAATAGGGTTCATGGGCCGCCGTGTCATGGATGTAACTGAATCTGCTTTCAAAGCCCCTTTGTGACGTTACTCAGCATTCAACGTGGCAGGCAACTGCTGGCCAGACCACCACGACCCACTCGGAGAGTCTCCTGTGGAGGGACTCAGAACAAGTTTGTTTTCAGGGAGGATGTCACTGC